ACTAGGAAGAAAGTAGTCTAGTCCTTCCCCTACTTTCTTTACAAGTAATAGTAAGAAGGTAAAGAAGCAGATATGTGCTAAAGTAGGTGAGCCTTCCTAAAGGCGCTGTAGATAGTGTAGTAAGACTAGGCATAACATGTGAATGTGTAAGAAAGAGGTAGAAGTAGTTTCTAAATAATATTACAGGCTGTACTGTAGTTTACAGCGCTAATTTAGGTTGTTTTAGGCTATAATAGGGTGGAGTTTAGTGGGGGCTTAGCAAAAGTGATTCTCTCGCCTGTTGATTCTTTCGTCCGTGGGGTACGTTATATAAGTTACAAGCTCTGCCTCTTGTTGTAGGTTAAGACTCTGCTGTGTTGTTGCACGTTGGTAGTGTGACTGTGTCTTACGTTGCCATCTTTGCGTCAACGTTGAGCAAACAACACTATGTTTTTCTGCAATCTCAGACTATGGGATTGGATTAACGTAGGTGTAGGGCGAGTCGCCCACCAGGGCGAGTCGCCCACTTTTGCTAAGACCCTCCCCCATCAAACCCTATTATGGCCCAAAACACCACAAACTGGCGCTGCACAAGGCAAAACAAGCTGTAATATTACTTAGAGACCTCTTTAATATTATTTTTGCATGTTCGCGCGTTGTGTCCACCCTCTCTGCACTGTCTACAGCGTTGTTGGGATAGTTCACCTCCTTCAGCGCGCACTAGCTTCTTTCCCCTCTTTCCATCACTACGCGCTCTAAACTCCTTTAGAGCAGTTAACTGCTAGCCCTCTTTGACTTTAAGGCTTCCCTTAGCTTAAATACGCTTTCTTTTGTGCAATTTGCGTTGTATAGTGGCCTTAGCAGCTGCTTTAAGCTCACGGATTCATTTTTGTGCAAGCGCAAGCTTATGTGACAGGATAGCTCCCCCCTTTGCGTAGTGCTCAATTGCGCTTAGAACAGAAGTAGGTAAGCTACCCTGCTCCCTCTTATATTTGTCTTAAATTAGAGCTAATTACAACTTAAATTCTAGGGTATTGTGCTGGCCCACCTTGAGCCAACAGGGGCCAAACTGCGCTCTTTTTGCAGAGAATTGGCCATATCAGCCACAGCTGCGAGCCGGGGGGACTCTCCTTGCGTGACCAGCTTAAGTATGTACGCAACAACTACCTGCTCCTCAGCAGCAGTCAGATTCCGTGAATTAGCTATAGTATTAACGCGTGAAGGTTGTCTAGTGAGTTGGTCGCGTAGAGTTGTTTGGGGCGCGTTGTAGAGAGCTGCAGCGCGTCTTACTGAGAGATTGGGGTCTTGTTAAAGAGCTAGTAGCGCAAGCTGTATCTAAGCCTCTTTGGACGCGTCTATTTGACGTGGTTGTGGAGGCATTGGTGTAGAGTTGATGTTTTGGTGGGGTCTTGGCAAAAGTGGGCGACTCGCCCTGGTGGGCGACTCGCCCTACACCTACGTTAGTAGGCATTAGAGATTCCATCTCTAGGAGGGCTTCTTCTATCGTCATGGCGGTGTTCAGATATTACGCGATGAAAGATGGGATGGTTTTGTTGGTTGCGCGCATTCGGTGAATCCGCGCATTTCGTGCACGGACACGGTATTGCAAGGAAATGTGAAAAATCGAAAAGCACTTCGGCCCGTGTACGAGCCGCAACTTTTTGCCTTCTTAGCATCATGAATACTCTTCCTGTGTGAATACTCTTCCTGTGTGAATACTCTTCCTGTGTGAATACTCTTCCTGTGTGAATACTCTTCCTGTGTACATACACCACATCCAAGCTAGGCACTAGGATAGATTCGGCTACAGGTATTCCGCATCAACCCAAACCTCCTGCTTAAAATTCCTCCCAAAGACATCTTCGATCGCAATTGGCTTGCTGAGCTGCGAGCTGAAGTTCGCCCTCGGACCAGCTGCACCAGGCCCGTAATTCTTGTACTCTTGATACACCACGTTGTCCAAAGGTTGTACAGCATCCCATCTAGACCAGCCCTCGGGACGAACAACATCACCAATATCACTCCGCTGGAATATAACTCGCGAAAATTGACGCCAGGGTCGGCCGAGGTAGGTCGAATTTGCACCGCTTGTGCCTCGGATCCTTGCTTGGTTAAATACGTAGATGCTGGTGTTATTCGCCGCGTCACGGCCACTCGCTGTGATGAAACCAGATCCGATTGACTCGATGTCGACTTTGTCGAACCATGCGGATGCGCGTAGACCGAAGATGAAGTCTACAGCTCCTGATGATCGTTAATGCAGTGATCTTGGAAAGGTTTTAGGGTCGCAGTACCATTGATGAAGCTCTTGGCGTAGATTTGCCTGCCCTCGTTGGCATATATGGTGTCTTGCCAGCCAGTGAAATTGCATCCGTAGAAGCCCTGGTTCGTGTTCTGAGCGCTGAGAGCAAGAGCTTGAGCTCCCTGGCCAAAAGTGTTGGCAATATTCAGATTGTAGAACTTCACGTTCGATGTCCAAAGTCGAACTGTCGATGTCGCATCGTTGTTGGGAAGACCTGGGGTCTGACGCGACAGATTGCCAGTGATAGTGACTTTGTTGTCTTTGTATGAGCGGGCATCCTTAGTATAGCCTTGCACTGTGAGTGGACCGACAAGAGGTTGAATGTACACCTGCTCAGTGTAGGTTCCGGGCGCGATGTAGATTGTTTGCGCCGATGTGGTATTACTCAACGCGTTAATTGCAGCACTGATGTTCCGGAAGCTGTTCTGGAGCTTTCCGGTTGCATCCACAACAATTGCACCCCTCGCTGGACTGATGCGCTCATTTTTGCTGTCAGCGAGAGCTAGAGAGGCCAAAACAAATGTGAAAGACAAGTGAAACAACATTGCGACTAAGCAGCTGTCTCTGCGACTCAGATGTCTTCTTATTGTGACGTTCTACCAAGACGTTTATATGAAGATCCAGGTACGGCCGGAGCGGCCGCTCTGGGATCTCGCAATTTCTCCGTTTTCGGGTCACATTCAATGCAGAAGATGTCTTTGAGGTGCGGGTGAACGAACCCAGGCACAGTGACATGATAGACAAGGGCACGTCAGTCTGGGGTAGAGCGCGGCCATTGGTGGTCTGCGGGAATCCACCAATAGTAATTTACCCCGGATCTGCAGAAAGCTGGGGCAGAGGAGCCTTATCCTGGTCCTGCCGTCACGCTACAATTATCGGTAATTTACCTGTTTCCAGTCACATCATGATTCGTTGCAATATCCGTCTACATCCGTGCAGGTGGTGCGACAGGTGCAAATTGCAGGTCTTGGTAGTCTTGAGGCCCGCGCTGGCACAATCTTTTGCTGCAGGGGTCATTCGCATTCATCGTAGCAGTAAAGCTCGGCCATATACTGTAACCACGTTGCTCAGATCACATGATATCCTATTGTAGCAGGCACTTCCTGGTGGGCAAGTGCAGGACAAACCCCTCCCCATTGGTATAGGCAGCTCTTTCGAGCGCTCTACTGGCAGCCAACAAGCTCGGCGCCACACAAACGGACCTTGGAGAGGAACCCCACTTTTCAGTTAGACCACACCGATCATCTCATCATATACTCAGCCGCTCGCACATCTGATGAGCGAACGCCTGG